CTCGATCATGTCACCCCTCAGTCGTCATTTCTCCAAGCTAAAGAGCCCCAAGCACTTTAACCTTTCCTCATAGGGAAAGTGTTCCAGTCCTTTTATCATTCTAATTGCCCTTTTCTGCACTTTTTCCAATGCTATAATATCCTTTTTGAGGTGTGGTGACCAGAACTGTACACAATACTCCAAATGAGGACGTACCATCGATTTATACAGGGACATTGTGATACCGGCTGATTTGTTTTCAGTTCCCTTCCTAATAATCCCCAGCATAGCGTTTGCCTTTTTTATTGCAATCACACACTGACTTGACATTTTCATTGAGTTATCTACTACGACTCCAAGATCTCTCTCTTGGTCAGTCTCTGCCAGTTCAGACCTCATCAACGTGTGTTTATAGTTAGGATTTTTTGCTCCAATGTGCATCACTTTGTACTTGGCCACATTGAACCCCATTTGCCACATTGATGCCCACTCGCCCATCCTCAACAGATCCCTTTGGAGTGCCTCACAATCCTCCTTGGTTGTCACCACCCTGAACAACTTCGTGTCATCTGCAAATTTAGCCACTTCACTGCTTACTCACAACTCCAAATCATTAATAAACAAGTTAAAAAGCATCAGACCGAGTACTGATCCCTGCGGCACCCCACTGCTTACCACCCTCCACTGAGAAAATTGCCCATTTATACTCACTCTCTGTTTCCTATTAATCAGCCAGTTTTTGATCCACAAAAGGACTTGTCCTTTTATCCCATGACTATTGCGCTTACTTAGGAGCCTTTGATGAGGAATGTTATCAAAAGCTTTCTGGAAGTCAAGGTAAACAACATCTATTGGGTCCCCTTTGTTAACATGTTTGTTCAGTCCCTCAAAGAACACTAACAGGTTAGTGAGACAAGATCTTCCCTTACAGAACCCATGCTGAGTCTTCCTCAATAGTTTTTGTTCATCTACGTGCCTATTAATTCTTTCCTTAATAATAGTTTCCACCGACGTACTCGGTACCGAAGTCAGACTGGCTGGCCTGTAATTTCCCAGATCTCCTCTGGAACCCTTTTTAAAGATGGGAGTGACGTTAGCTACCTTCCAGTCCTCAGGAATGAAGACAGATTTTAATGAAAGATTACATATTTTTAATGAAAGATTACATATTCCCTGCCCAAGTTTTCCTTCAGATCGCCCTCTAGTTATGAATAAGGTACTTAAGAGAACATAAGAACATAAGAGAAGCCGATGTTGGATCAGGCCAATGGCCCATCTAGTCCACACTCTGTCACACAGTGGCCAAAAAATACCAGGTACCATCAGGAGGTCCACCAGTGAGGCCAGGACACTAGAAGCCCTTACTAACTTAGAATTAAGGGACCATCTCGAGTTATGTAGTGATGCCAAAAGGAAATGTGTACCCTCTTTCTGGGGACTGAGCACCCCATCTTTTCCAGTACTTCCAGATTATCTGAAATTCTTAACTATTCCAACCTTTCTTGGCCAGACATAGTGCTTTACCTCTTAATGAATTATTTGGCAGATTCTCAGATAAAACGATTGAACAGAGAGTCTGCCCATGTGGAAATGGAAAGATGGAAACACCCATTTTTTAATTTGGTTGTGAGTTATATTCTTCCATAAGATCTTCTTTTGTTTTTCCATTGATTTCACACTTTCCAGTATGTTCACATGATTACCATTTATTGTATTTGTTATCTGGCAAAGATAAGGCTGTTACCCTGTCTGTAGCTCATTATTTAACTGCTGCCTTGAAGATTCATTCAAAGAAATAATTCATTCGCACCTAAATGCTGATTCTGCATACAGGTGCTCTTTTTGCACTGGAAATGGTAATCCTAATTGCTAAAAGGTACTTGGCATTCCATTGCTGTCATCTACATTTAAAAGGCAAAGTA